TCGATGGCGTCAGACATATTTTGTGGCTTGCCTGATATATTGATATAAAGTATTTATTTTCCCAGTGCGGGTTTTCTTTAGAAACTCAGTCTCATCTTCTTCGGTGATTCGCCCAAGTCAACAAAATCATTAAAATTACCAAAGAATCATACGTTTGCAAACGTGAAAGGATCTTGTACGTATCTGGGGTAATATTTGAAGAGAGATGTTCTGTCATATTCTGTGCAAAATCGCAGTTGTTTTAGCGAGGTTTTGCGAAAAACTGTGTCATTGAGCAGACAATATCATGTGACCACTGAGACTACAAGCCTTGATAATATTTGTGGTAGATACTATTCTGCCAATTTGTCCACGTCTCTGGCAGAAGGACATTTTAATTCCAAAGGAAGAATTTTATTGCGTATATTACGTAGCAATCAGCTAGGACTATATATGAAGCATGCATTAGCTTGACTGCAAATATCATTGCCTATGATGTTTTCGCCTGTTGTGATTTCTACGGATTTTCTGATGACTGGCTCAAGCAGTGTTCCTTGCAAATATGGCAGTTATTTCACCAGATTTTACTCCGAGTTTTCGTTAGTCATATCTGCAGCTGTTGCAAGTGGGCCGATTCCAAGAACTGTAGCTAACTCTGAGCCACAGCTGTGGTTGACATCATACCTCTCTGGCGATGTTTGCTTCACTCAACTTATAGTTTCCTTATCGACATATTTTCCATATACAAGATTGCAAGATGGTGATTTATTTTGGCTCACTGACCTAGATTCAAGATGAGGGGTCTAAAGTTGAATGTGCCGAAATTTCAGTTAGTAGTAAACAACACGGTTTTTCAAGTTTTCCAAAGCAGTCAAGCTTTTATGTAGGGGACGAAACAATTTAAAGCAAACCAAACTATAGCTAGAAAGACTGAATGACATGGAACATTGAAAATGAGTTAAATAAAATAAAAAAATCTGATGAAAACAGTATCAAAACGGGCAGACCAAATTCGCAATATGTATAGTGTCAGATTGTAATAACATGCATCTGAAATAGAAACATTTGGCAATGTGTATAATTTTGTATTCTTTTTCAATTTCCTAAATCATGAGCCGAGTAAATAAAGTCGAAAAATAAAAAAGTAACAAATTAATTTTCTGCTCAAATTAAGATTTCTATGGATGTCAACTACCTCCAACAAAATGATTACTACTAAAATTATTATTTGAACTTTAGAAACCTAATTTGATTAATAAATACATATACTCACTATTAAACACTGCATTTCTCTTCCTCCACAAGTGACATCGGAACGCCTCCCTGAACCCACGTCGGAAGTTTTCATTAAATCCCCCGTAGAGGATAGGATTCAGCGCACTGTTAGAATACGCAAAATACAGAGCAACGTACTTCACTGTCTTCACGTACTCTGGAGGCTAGACAAAATACATGAAACACTATACAGGGACGGTTAATTATATAGATAGAAAATGACGTCAATAATACCCCAATCATCAATAAGTTGGTGAGCTAAAATCCTATTAGTTATTATTTTATAACTGACGAAATGAATCTGCATTTAAAAGTAGTTAAGAAATATTAAGCCTGCATGAAGAACTGTTCATTACATTTAGCCAACCACTAGCCCATCTACCTACCTACATTCATGCCTAATTCTATAGTAGTTGTAGTAGTATCCATAATAAATTTTGTGTTTCGATTCATTCTTATAATTTCTGTACGGATTGAAAAGGAAGTCAAGATCTTGGATTAATGAATGTCTTTCTGACGTCAACATTCTGGTTAGGTTCGATACAGGAACATATATATGCTGCTTTAGGAAGGCAGGCGCATGCATCATTGTCTTTGCTCCAAAGAGTTCTCTTCTATTCGCAACAGGTAGTATCGAAAGTGGTTACCTCTCGCATTCCCGAAATACGTTAAAATTAGAACTATTCCGAATTCAGTCTGGGGAATGACATCCCTCAACAACAAAACCCTCCACATACAATGTTTTATTATGCACCTATCAACCTCTTACTTAAGAAATATCTAGACTTGCATTGTCATTCATCTGAAGTAGGAAAATGATGCTAACTTTTCATTATTCCGCTTTACCATACTCTCATATAAGCCTAGAACTACTTTTCTGAGATTTTAGTCTCAACTGAAGAAGCGTAAACTGTGTCATAACCTCTCTTGACATGCAAAAGGAACTTAATGACATTCTCAATGACACCTCTGTATAATCATGTTCCAACAATTTTTCCAAATCCTTCTCTGTAAATGACTGTTCAAAATAATGTTCATTCCCATGACAAACCCCCATTGTCTCGCCAAAAAAAACTAAACTTCACTCTGCCTGGCTCGGTTGGTTAAACACTTGTAATAGCAATTCAAAAACTAAAATCTAAAATCACATATATGGGCTCGCTGTCTCCATGTGCCGAATAATTCGTGTTATTAAAAGAACTTAGTTAAAACGAATCACTTGTTCCACGCGGTTACGTTCATAAAACAGCCATATTTATGCAAATATCAGCTGATTAAAATATAATTCTGTTCATGATTTAAGCAGTTCTCAATTAAAAAGTTTGACATGTTAAGCAGTCTCTTGTTTATTATCTATGTATATATTAAATAAATATTGAATTATTTGAAAATTCATAAAGTATATTAAAATCACAGGTGGCGCTCACCAGTTATTATGTACTTTTGAGAGAGTGATGTATGTAAGGTAAAGTTGTTTGCATTTTAAACATGCACAGTGGAGAGAATGTTGGCATACCTATATACTACTTTCATGTAATGTGGCTGAAATTTCTTTGGATATTGTACTTTTGGAAATTTTAAATGATCTTAGGACACTGCTAACTAAAATGACTGCTCCCTTGTGCTCCAAAAACCAACCTAAATTTGTCTAAAGTACTTTATTCTTGGCAGCTATTAAAATATGGAAAATGAATTTTGACAAACTAGATAATACCAGCTTCTAAAAGTGCAATGACTGAATTACCAAATACATAAAATGTAAAAAAAGTTATCGGATCATTTTTTTACAATTTACATCTGACGTTCGAGAAGTGAAAATGAGCAAGTAGAGCTAGCATTTTTTTGAAAGGTGCACATCTGGAGTAAGGCCAAGCTGTATACTCTCTAACCCATATTATACCCATCAATCATACATCAAAATAAAGGGAATTACAGGTTCTTTGAACAACACCTAAGCTATACAAAGTCTCTTTTAAATAACCAGTATAACTAGTGAGGAAACCCGGGAAAACTCTTTTACTTAAAATTTTAACCCTATGCTAAATACCAAACTGTAGAGCGCCACCTTAAAAACAAATATAAACATTTATGCAATTATTTTTCTTATTTTAATATTATTATGTGTGATGTTCTGAGTAAAAAGGTACATTATCAATGATTTTGTTCATGAAAATAAGCTAATTATGCTTATTTTTTGCTCTAGCATACATAATTTGCTATGAGGCATGTTTGGGTGAGTAGTGACCTTCATTATGGGAAAATTAGAAGTCTTAAAATATAGGAATAAAGTCAACTTAAATTAAAAAATGTTGCATTAAGTAAAAGAAATACATAGTGAAAATGTTTTATTTCATTTATTTACAATAAAATTAAAAAATAAATGATAACAAAGCAAATTTGTTTTCTTCCATATCAAAGAATTAGTTAATATTTACACTTTGACCTTTGACCTTTATGATCCTCACCTGTTATATCCCTTTTATAACTGTAAAATTTATTGTTGACATCTCAGGAATAAATATGGCTAGTTAAATTTTCCTGTCTATCTGCATAACACTTGTTGCTATGTTGACAAAATGCAATGCGCATTTTTAAAATAGTTCACTTTATTCATAAGGAGGGGGGGATGTACCAGTTTAAGACTCTTACTCTTATAAATGCTGTTCTGAGGGGGGAAATACAGGTCAATTATTACAAAGGACTGTTTTGATGCTTGTGACTTAAATATTTCAGTCATACAATCAAAATTAAATCATACAATAATAATACCTATATTTTCTTTATGGTGGCGCTCACCAGTTATTATGTACTTTTGAGAGAGTGATGTATGTAAGGTAAAGTTGTTTGCATTTTAAACATGCACAGTGGAGAGAATGTTGGCATACCTATATACTACTTTCATGTAATGTGGCTGAAATTTCTTTGGATATTGTACTTTTGGAAATTTTAAATGATCTTAGGACACTGCTAACTAAAATGACTGCTCCCTTGTGCTCCAAAAACCAACCTAAATTTGTCTAAAGTACTTTATTCTTGGCAGCTATTAAAATATGGAAAATGAATTTTGCCAAACTAGATAATACCAGCTTCTAAAAGTGCAATGACTGAATTACCAAATACATAAAATGTAAAAAAAGTTATCGGATCATTTTTTTACAATTTACATCTGACGTTCGAGAAGTGAAAATGAGCAAGTAGAGCTAGCACTTTTTTGAAAGGTGCACATCTGGAGTAAGGCCAAGCTGTATACTCTCTAACCCATATTACACCCATCAATCATACATCAAAATAAAGGGAATTACATGTTCTTTGAACAACACCTAAGCTATACAAAGTCTCTTTTAAATAACCAATATAACTAGTGAGGAAACCCGGGGGAACTCTTTTTCTTTAAAATTTAACCCTATGCTAAATACGAAACTGTAGAGCGCCACCACAATTATCCTAGAAAATCTATCTAAATTGCTAGATTACGTCTTCTTCTCATCATCAGAAAATCTTGATCAGGACTCGACGTGTCGCGCCGTGTTATGGTCCTAACTTTCTAGTGCTGACAATTAGTGGAGATTATTTTAAAGTCACGAGTACGATTGAAGAAAAATACATCAGTTAAACATTTTACGATTGGAGGATTATTTTTGCATAAATGAACGATGTCAACATCAAATATCAGCGTCCTCAAAAATCCACAAGACAACTGCAACAATATGCCCCATTGCAATAATGACACTATTCACAGCTTTCAAGGAACGGTGGCCTAATAGTTAGAGCATCCGCATTGGATGCTGGATGTCGCGGGTTTGAACCCCGGCCGCTTCATACCAAAGACTTTTTTAAAAAATGGTGCTAACAGCTGCTTCGCTTGGCGCTCAGCATTAAGTGGTTAGTGTGAGGACTGGTGGATCTGGTGTCAGGAAAGTGTGACTGGGTAGGACATCATACCACACGTATGCGGCATGATGCCTCAGTGCTAGACATCACTATAAACTGCGATATGACTGAAAAGTTGTTAAGCTACGTGAAAACTTTAAATCACACACACACACACATACACACACCCTTGTCATTAACACTCTATTGCTACCGATCAAACCCGAGTTACCTTTTAAACAGGAAGCGACCGCCGGAAACCAGACACAGTTATAACTGTATTCCTGAGATTTTATTCTGCTAATTACCTGCATGATCGAACCCTAATATATCACGCATCCACGCAATAATGTTACAACTTATTCCAAATACCCTCAATGGAATAAAAGCTCGCGCGTCATTGTCTTGATCAAAAGGTCTATACATCGTCATGAAACGTCACACTGTAAGTCTAAGGAGTTTCAGCCCAAATGACTTTCGTTGGGAACTTTGTGATACCAAAACTTTTATGAATAATTGGTGGACAACACTATCCTTATCATTCATATATATATATATATATATATATATATATATATATATATATATATATATATATATATATATATATATATATATATATATATATATATATGATTACAGATGTTGCTGTTTTGTCCTCATGAAATGATATGTCATGTTCGATATTTTAACATTTTAATAGCAGGTGTCACCGATGTCATTTACCTTGTCTTGCAGAGCAAAAGGTTATAAGAAAACACACCAGTCTTATAATAGGAAATACTAAATTTAACGTCAAAAGGGGTCTCTCTCAAAATAGAAATGTTACCTTAACGTTCCTCTCTCTGTAAATGTCCCACAGTAGGATGACCTGTTGTGGAGTCCAGCATACGATAAATACAATCATAACTATCACCAGCATCCTGACCACCTGCGGTCAAACCAAAATAATACAATATTACTAGTGCTGGTTTTGAACTGAAATGTAACTGAAATACGGAGATATACGAAATTTAGGTCGAAGATGAAAAAGAATAAATTTTGAAGAAAATGCACGTAGATATAGAAACACTGTATGACGGTACATTTAAATACACGCAGATATACAAACACTATTTGACTGTACAGTTAAATACATGTAGATATTGAAACACTGATGGACGGCACATTCAAATAAATGTAGATATAGAAAAACTGTTTGACGGAACATTTGAATACATATAGATATTGAAACACTTTTTGACGGTTTATTTATATTTCCCGATGACATTTATACAGAGCTTTAGGTTCTCACAAGCCCCGATGAAATGTATAACGAACATTAGTTTCTTACAAGTACCGATAACATATATACAGAGAATTGGGTTTCTCGCAAGCACCTATGACATTTATACAGAAAATTATGTCATTATGTCACGAATCTTGATCGTCGTGTGATGACAATTAGATTTCTGGAAAGGTTTTCATTGTCGTTTAAATTTGAGAAGGCGTTTTCATTTTCATGACATTCATATTTCGATAGCAATTTCTAACGAACACTGCACATGTTTGCAATTTTAAATTCCCCTTCGTACAAGCTTAAAAAAAACTTCTATCTCAGCCTTCAGATGACATTAATTGAGTCCTAAACTGACTGACTGTCTATGAATAATCTATACAGCATTTACCATATTACACATTTCCAACAATCGCTGCAACTAAAACAAACACCCCCTCCCCCCAAAAAAACCAAACAAACAAACATCGGTTTGGATGCATCCTTTCTTGGAATCTCTGAAATATGATGCTCTTAAACACTTTCGTCTTTATTGATATATAATAAATTCATAATGATACATCACACTCCACTTTAAAACCTATTATTTGAGTAAAATATCTATATCATATATCTTTGATTTATTTCCTCATGCTCACCATGGTATACTTACAACCAGACGACTCACTTCAAATCGCTCTGCTCCTTATTACACTGTTGTACATGTGATTTGAAAATTAAATATATCGTTGATTATTTTCTGTAGCACATTAAAGCACCATTTATAGTAAATATCAGATTATAAAAAGGTATTTTACCATTCACATTTATTTTCTTAATTTTATAACAATTTTGGTTTCGAAAGAGACTTTGTCCCGAGAACTAAAACCAATAAAATCTGGAATAAGCAAGATCGTATTATAAGCAAATTGTTTATTTGATTGCAAAATATATTACATTATGCTTTCTAAATATTCTTACAAGTTAATTAAAATTGTATGTATGCAGAACATCAATTCTCCTGAAGTGAAATTTTATAACTGTCTTGCATTCTTCATAACTCATTTCTTTAGAAGTCCTAAGAATCATGGACAGAAAACTAAAAAAAAAATGTTGAAGAAAAGGGTTTAATTTTCAACTTATTGTCATTCTTACCACTATATACAAAGTAATAAAACAGTAGGTCAAAAAATGCTAAACATCAATATTCAGTTAAAGGGTATGACAAAAACCCGTTAAAGTAAAACTGCTTATTTATTATTAAATAGTGAAGTCTAATACTTCGAGATGACTAAATATCGAGGTAGAAGATACTTATCTATAAAATATATCGTAAAGGTTTATTATTTTTCTTGTAAACATGCATCACTGAATATAATAACAAACATACACCCCTAAGTATCAGTGACGACAGCTCCACTAGAAACTTTTCAACATTTCCGTACATTGCTCTAAACAGTACGATTGATACAGTTAGGGTTGTCCATTAAGAATGTCCTCAGATACCTGTTTTCCTAACCCACTCTCCCCTTTTCCCTTGTTTGCATTTTTCCGCATGTGGCCTATTCGCCTCCCCCAAGGGGTTGTGGACGTTCCCATTATGCACTGCTGTATTGTTTACTGTCTGATATATAAATATATATATATATATATATATATATATATATATATATATATATATATATATATATATATATATATATATATATATATATATATATAGATAGATAGATAGATAGATAGATAGATACATGCATGCATGCATGCATGCATGCATACATACATACATACATACATACATACATACATACATACATACATACATACATACATACATACATACATACATACATACATACATACATACATACATACATACATACATACATACATACATACATACATACATACATACATACCAGTTGAAAGCTGCGTTACTGCTTTAGGCCTACTGATATATATATATATATATATATATATATATATATATATATATATATATATATATATATATATATATATATATATATATATATATATATATATATATATCAGTAGGCCTAAAGCAGCCTTCAACTCAGAATATCATAACAAAACATACTATCTTTTGGACGTTTGTAAGGTCCTTTAAACCCACTCCCCCATGTCTTCAGGTGTCCGCATTTGAACTAACCTCCTACCCCCATCTTTGCGAACGTCATTTATGGATGATCCCTTATGCACGGTGCTATTACGTGTTGTGTAACTGACTGTCGGAAAGTTGGTTTGCCTCATCAAAGTAGTAACTGAGTCTTTTTATGAGGACTTACTGACTGGATGAAAAAACATACTGAAATAACCGTTGTCTCTACTTGTATTATTTATGTTTCAATTCACAACTAATAATGACAGGCTTTTTAAAAAAAATATTTCTGCACATAGGAATATTTATAAATACATTTTGTGAACGTGACGCTATCCAGAGGTGTGTCCTCTCGAGAAGTGAATGTATGACACTGAGTCAAAACAAAGTAACGTCAAGCATAAGTGATAGAGAAAGACCTATGGTGTTAATACTGGCTATTTTGAATACTCTTCGTGATTGTGAACATGTCGTGATACTTTCATAGATGTCACAACTATTCTATGACGTGTACCAACAACTCCACGACGTATCAAACGACTCTATGACGTGTCATCAATAATAACAGCATAAGCAATAAACTGATTCATAGAAAGAATCGTTAAAATCACACTCAAGAATTCATCACGTCATATGAAGTTCAGCTGAGTTTTTTTTATAACACAATCATCAACATATATATGTTTGATGCTCGTAAAAGGACGGTTAAATTGTGTCAGTAACATATTAGCATTACAAAGATTTCATTGGGTTATTTTACCCATTAAGTTTTACACCCACCTTTCTCCACCGTTTATGTATATAAAAATAAATTCATATTTTCAACTCAAATCAAAAGAAAAGTGGACCACAAAACGAAATGATTTTCCGAAAAATTATTTACATTGAAAATTGCAGAACATATGCTCACTCAGAGTTGGTTTTCGCCACCCACAATTTATCCATACGTGTGATATGAAAAACAAAACATGAAACTGTTTAGTGCTAAATGGGGCAGTTGAAAATGATTTCTGCAATTTGTGTCGCTGAAAATCTGAGACATCCATTTAACAATAGAAATTCATGTGTAATTCAACGTTCATGGTTGCAACGTTGTCAATTTTATTTTTAGAGCTCGTCTCTCATCAGTGAGGATCTAACCTTCGCATTCTGCCGGATATTGCCAGATATTCGCAATATCCGCATTCTGCCGGATATTCGCAATCATTGCGTTCTGCCAGATATTTGCAATCTCCGCATTCTGCCGGATATTCACAATCATTCCATTCTGTCAGATATTCAAAATCTCCGCATTCTGCCGGATATTCGCCCGCCAAAACTTAACAGTTTGGGAAAGATGACTAACATGGAATAAAAACCATATGTATCACTAAACAATTTCGTATCATTTGCCATGTGGTAAATTTTGAATGAAGGGACATCCATCATTTATTTGCATCATTCACCCTCATTATTTACAGTGGTGTCAAGAATACACGATTCTATTTTGCATGCACATAAGTATAATTCTAGTACAGAAACATGTTTGTATTACTTGGGTTTTGGATCTGGTTTAAGCCGATAATGTGTTTA